GGGAGGGAGCGGGGGGACACCGGGGACAGCGGGACAGAGAGGGCAGGGGCTGGGGACAGGGACAGCCCGGGGGGGTCACCCGGGGCCGCTGTAAAACTGACACCGCGGAGCTGAAATGTCAGGGCTGGGGGCAGGCGGTGTGAGTGGGAGTGTGAGTGTGAGTGTGAGTGTGAGTGTGAGTCCCACTCCCGGGAGCTATTCCCCACCGCCCCGCAGGGCACGGCACGGCGTGGCACACGGGGAATGGCGTGGGATGGCACATGGAGAATGGCATGGCATGGCATGGCACGGCGTGGCACACGAGGAATGGCATGGGATGGCATGGCATGGCACGGCATGGCATGGCACACAGGGAATGGCATGGCATGGCACGGCAAGGCGTGGAATGGCACACAGGGAATGGCATGGCATGGCACAGCATGGCATGGCATGGAATGACACAAAGGGAATGGCATGGCGTGGCACAGTATGGCATGGCGTGGAATGGCACACAGGGAATGGCATGGCATGGCACAGCATGGCATGGGATGACATACAGGGAATGGCATGGCACACAGGGAATGGCACGGCACATGGGGAGTGGCATGGGATGGCATGGCACGGCATGGCATGGCGTGGAATGGCACACAGGGAATGGCATGGCACACATGGAATGGCATGGCACATGGGGAGTGGCATGGGATGGCATGGCACAGCATGGCATGGCACTGCACAAGGGGAATGGCATGGGATGACACAGCATGGCATGGCATGGCACACGGGGAATGGCATGGCACACATGGGATGGCATGGGGGCGCATGGCACATGGGGAATGGCATGGCATGGCATGGCATAGCACACATGGAATAGCCTGGCATGGCATGGCACATGGGGAATGGCATGGGATGGCATGGCACACAGAGAATGGCATGGCACAGGGGGGATGGCATGGGATGTCACAGCACGGCATGGCACGGTGTGGCACACAGGGAATGGCACAGCATGGAACAACAGAGCGTGGCACAGCCCGGCGTGGGCAGTGGCAGTGGCAGTGCCACCCACGGTCTGTCCCTGCTGCCTGTTTACCTGTCCCCACCTCGGAGACCCATGATGCCCGCACCCCTTCCCTTGCCCCCAGGCCTGGCACTGCCACCCTCCCCAGGCTGGGGCTCAAATGGGGCTCACCCCCCCACCCCCCGCTGTGGCCCCGGACCCCCCCGGGTGTCCCCTGGAGCTGTGCCCACGGGAGCCCAGGCTTCGGGGTGCCCCCGGGGACACGGGGGTGGCAACAGCCTCCCGGCAACCGCCTGGTGCTGTTGGCAACGGTGGCCCCACAGTCCCGCAGCAGGCACACGCCGGGGGGGGGACACCAGGGGG